GGAAAGAAAAATGTTTAGATTCTGATATAAGACCTGGAGCCATAGCTCTACATGCACACAATAGTAATTAACTTAAATGTCATTATGCTGTAAACTTGCCCTGCCCATGGGTGTATCCAGCCTTCAGTGAGCAAGTGCCCAGCAGAGCAGACATTATCATCATTTGTAAGTCTGCTGCAAGTTGACTCATGTTGGGCCTTTCAGTAGACAAAGTTTGGGAATTCCAATATTGCTTGTTCCCATTTGAACCTTATTATGGTTGTTACTTTTATTATAACAGATGGAATTCATTATGATATAAATGCTTTGCCTGCTTCAGCCATTTAAAAATCCTATGTTGTCTAAATGGCTATCCAGGATAATACAGCTGAAAAATGTTGCTTGAACTTTTCACGCATGTAGAGAATTGTGTATGTCTTGACTGTTCAAGTTAGGTCAAGTTACTGTTGGCTGTATTTGAAATAAGTAACTTCATTGTCACTTTTGTAAATACTGTAAATATTTCTGATAATTTTTTTCTGTTAATAATCTGTCCTGTTACCAATCATTACCAATTAAAAAAGAGGTGCTGTCTCACTGTTCAGTGTTTTAAAAAGGAATTGACAGAGCAATTTAAAAAATCATTATCAAAGAAGGGTAGTTTGTGTTTAGTGTTATCTTGACAATGGAGGTATGTAAGCTTTTTGTCCTTTTTTCTGTTTAAAAATGCACTCTTAAGAGTTCTTCAAAACTGGACCATAAACTTTGATATGTGAGGTGATCGCTTCAAAGACTTATTACCAACTTATTTTATCCTTTTATCACTACTAATATAATTTTCCAACTTTCTCCTATGTCTTGTGACTCTGTGAACTTCATTTTGTTGAGCACTTGTTCTTCAAAGGCTCAGAAAGTATGCACACAAGTTGCCTCTTATTCAACAACTGTAATGAGTCACAGTAGCAATTAATAGTAGCAGGAATTGTAATTTTCTGTAGACCTGAATACAGTTCTTCTATGAGTGTGTCTTACACCTTCACTTCTATTGTTTTGTGGTATCTATATACACATATGTGCACACACATGCATACATAAGTATGCACTAAAGCTGACTGTACTATGCCTACTCTTGCCCCAATAGTGTTTTATTTGTATTATGTGAATGAAGCTATTTTTAACGGCTAATCTCTTAGTATTGAAGATGCTTGGACATCCAAACTTAGAGAGCTGTAAATTGATCAGCATGAATAGATCTCCCTCTTACATATGTATTATACTTGAGATGTTACTATTCAGTTGTGGAGTACTAGAGCGAGTCAGTGAGACACCGTATTTTCATTAAAAAAGCTGTTGATTTCTTGTAGTGTTATTGCTGCCCAGATCTGTGCTATTAGAGAGTGCAGCTAAGATTTCATACCCTATTCTTAAATTTCTACTCCTGTAAATATCTTCCTTGTTGAAGTGGTCCTGGAGTATAGAAAGACATTGGAATTTGATCAATAATTAGTTTTCCTGGAAATGTGGTGGATGGAATAAGATTAATTGAGTTCAAGGGCTCAGCTTTCATAAGGTGAGCCACATGTGCCTGTGCGAGGGCATCTTACATCTCCTGGTTTCTCCCTGTGTTGAGACAGAACTGTGTGGTTCTGCTGCCCTGGCTGGGTTTGTGGAGTGGTTTTGCTTGCCTGGGACATGTGGCTACAGTTCTGTCTTTGGGCATCTAGGATTTGAGAGAGTCAGAAAACAAGGATTTAAACCAAGTATGATATACAAAAGCATTTAAGGAAAAAAGAAAGCCATTGGTCTTGAGCCATTCTTTAGCCTTTCCTGTTTATTTCTTTCATGCTATTGTCTCCCTGTTCTATGTTTCGCTTCAAGAATATGATTTCTACTCAGCCCAAAATAAAGTGTTACTGAATTACAGAGATACTTAAGTGTGATCACAGTTATGTCATTCTGAATAAGTAAATGTTTCAGTCAATGAAACTGCTTTGTACTTTTTTTAACTTATGTTGTGGATTATTGATCGTGCTCTATATAACTGTGCTGGTAAACCAAGCAATGGTAGAGAATGTTTCCAGACACTTCATTGCCTTCACTGCTGGACTGTGGTATTTTAGTCTTCATCGACTAGCATTCTCCTAGAATGCTTGCAGTGGGAGGGTAGTATAGGCAAAGCTAAGGAATGTTGCTAGAGCACAGTCGCTGTCTTGTGGAGATTGAGTTTCTAACAGTATAGACATGAGCTATTTTCTCCCATGTGGCCTCAGTGCGATCAAATGGATCCAAGATTGTTTTTGTATTAGTATAGATGTAGCTCCATGTGTATGTAGATTACTGTTATACATTGAAGAAGATGCTTGGATATTGCTGTGAAAGATGATATAAATTTATTTAGCTTACTGGTTCACTTAGCCTTCACTGTATAGAGGAACACTAACACTTTAGTTATGTCGATTTCCAAGATGTGTACTCTTGCATAATCTTTCTTGGAGATACCACATAATGATGTAAGTGGCTGGTAAAATTAAGGTATTCTGACTGGACAAGTTTGTCAGGCTGTTTCTTCTTTTGAATTAGTTGCTCTGTTATTAGTATTAATGTTTTCCTAAGAAAGAACAATTTGAGATGGGAAGGGAGCAAAAACATATAATTCAACAGTATCTGTTACAGTATTTTAATTTTTCTTGCAGTGTATCCCTATATCGGGGAAATTGCCGACCTCTCCGGTTTGAGCCACCGATGCTGGATTTCCATGAACAGTAAGTTGAAGTCTTTCGATCTGTTTAGTTAGACAAATAGAAGAAAAATCTCAAGAGCATTTAATCTGACAGAGAAGGCTGTATACATAAATTGCAGTGATAGATTGTCCATAAGTGTAGTTGACCTACTTGTTACAGAGAGCTGGTGTACTCGGTCTTAAACATCATATAGTGACTTATAAGTTGCCATGGTTTCGGTGCTGTAGGTACTTGTACTTACTTTTAGGTACCTGTACAGCTGCTCTGCATAGTGGAAAGAGTTACAAGTGTAGAACTTAACGTACTGAGGTAAGATTACCTTTCTGCTTGTACATAACCCATGTCAGAGAGCATCTACTCTAGCATGTCCATTTTACTATTGCTTCGATGGCAAAAAAGCCTTTGTCAGTGGATCTGCAGTTATTAGAGAAGTAATGTAGAGTCGTGAAAATACAGCCTCAAGGCGAACAGTCTCCAAGAACTTAGCTTCATGCTCCACCTTGCAGCTGGTCGTAGTTTCATTTGTCAGTGGCTGAATGTAATGGTTTACAGCAAACTTATCTGTGACTTCTCTAAAAGATACAAGAAAGGGAGGAAGACAGAAGTTAAATAATTTCAGCTCTACTTGTTTGTAATCACTACTTCAGCCTCAGCTTTTCTTACCAGAAAGTGGTTACTGTGTATAGGTAGCTACAGTCATTCTTGTTAAGAGTCAAAATCAGTTCTGAAGTTGGTGTACATGGATGCAGCCTTTGTTCCTGATCGATACTTTGACACAATGTAAACTGTGGTGAGGACCTTTCAAACATGTTGTTAACAGCTCAACCTGGGAGAAAGAAAACAGCCCAGGTGTGTCTTACCACAGTACTGCTTCCTCCATACTCAGCTGCTGGACGAAAGGCTGCTGTATTTACAGACAAGCCATGGATTATTAATAAAAATACAGTACCCCTTGTCTGTAGGAAAGACCACTGTACGATGTGGTGACTACAGAGATGTGCAAGGAACGAAGCGTCTGTGTGTTGCTATGGTATATACTTCTGTGTTTCTAAAAAAGCGGAGATAACTCTAGATTGTTTGCACAGTTTTCCAGAAATAATCTTCATACAAAAAACCCAAATGTAATGCCACTAAATAGTAAAGCTATATGAGAATTTATTTGGGCTCAGTCTAACAAAACTCTAATCTTACTTCTGAGTAGAGGCATTGTAAATAACTCTGTCCCCTCTTCATTATTCCTTTAAAAATTCAGGATCTCTAACTTCTGATGTTGTGTGGTTTTGTTTTGGTTTTTTTGAAATGTCAGTAAGTGGTCCTAGCTAAGACAATTTTGAGCTTCTAAATTGAATAGTAAAATACCTAGTGGAAAGCCTTGCTCTACTGCATCTCTACTGTAACAAAATTAGGTTATAGATTATAAATTACACTGGTGAGTGCAGTACAAACTCAAACTTGTAGAGCAGTTTGCTCTTTTTTAGACTTGGTGTAAACTTACCTATTGATTTGTGTTTAAGTGATTTTAAATTGTAAAGGTTTTCAGTTTGTAGTAATTGCAGAATTTGACACTTGAAATGTATTTGATATGCCTTTTCCTACCATTAATGAAGTGTTTTGTTGATGTGCTCTGAAATACCTTGCTTTGCTGTCATCTGTAGTTTGTGTGTTAATCTGAAGAAAGCTGCATGTGCTTTTTTGCTTTGTAAGCTTCCAAAGATGCCATTTTCTTTTTTATTTTCTTGCCAAAAGTAGATCTCAGACACTATCATAAATACTTTAAGCTGTTCTTCATTATATTTTGACTTTTTATATAAGCTGTTCTTGTCAGAGCTGTAAATACTGAAAAGAGGGTGTAGATCTAGTACACTGTTAAAGTAGTACAGATCTCTTACTTAGGAAGGGTTCTGTACAATAAGTGCAGAAGTGTACTGGGGGATTGATGCCTTCTATCCATTAAAATAGGAAACCTGTATGTAAGAACTTGTTTCGGTTTGGTTTTTTGTTTTTGGTTTGGTTTTTTTTTTCCTGACAGTAGATGCTAATTAATGTATCTGTTGTAGTTTAGGTTATAATCTTGGGCAGAGATCATATTCTGATTTATTAAAACTTCAGTAAGATGTCAAAAACAGTTTTAGAAAAGATCTAGATGTGGAACCCCAAAGTTCAGTTTAAAATCTGTACTTAGGCATTTAAATAAAAATGAACTAACTCTGAGAAATGCTGAGTAACTCAACCGTATGGTGGGAACAAACTGTAGCTGCCAAGCACCTTGGAAGTTAAATTATGCAGATTTAAGCTTTCAGCTCTTTTGCCTTTTAAACTAGAGAGGGTTTTCACATTTAAATTCTGTTTCTTCTTTCTTTGTTAATAATGGATTTTAGGAAAAGCATAAAATGCATATTTAGTTTCTGAATAAATATTGTACCTAAACGGTGTTTTGTTAATAGGTAGCATGCAACATTTGGCAGAGCAAGCTTGTTCAAAGTTCATGTTTATGCATATGACATTCCTAGGCTAAAGAAAGTTGCAATATTTGATTCAGTTGTAAGATAACTTATTCTTCCTGTGACATTTTTGGCCTGCTAAATGTGTGGGTTTAATCAGATGTTTCAAAACCATGCCAACTTGAGCAGGAATAATATTAAAAGTTACTTCATCTATGGATCTCAGAAAATCAAAATCAGAATTAAGTTGGTAAATAGATTCTGTAGACACACTTCCTGTGTTCCAACTGGAGATGAGATTACGGTGACCTTATACTCCTAGTTTGTATCAGTTGGGGGTATTTTTAATGCTGTTTTAATATAAAAAAAAAAAATACTACCATATTCTACCACTTTGAAGGCAGGCCAGGTAATTTCACGTTTATCAAAGGAAATGTATGCTGTATGTTAGGGTATGTAAATCTTTAGCTTTCTTGAAGAGGTCCCAAATGTTTTCTGTATACATTAAGCCTCTGGGAATGGGGTGGAACAGAGGCAGGTTCTCCCATATCACTGCTCCAGGGGACTGCTTGGAGTAAGTGGAATACTCATTTAGTTAGTTAATGTGAAAGCTGTCTGCTTGTGTTTCTGAAGCAACACCAGTCTTCCTCTGGAGCAAATTCTGCCACATGTTGGCTATCAGAGATATGGGGCTTTAAAGAAAACGAACATGCATAAAACCCTCCACTCAAAACCAACTCCACAACTAGCTGCCTTTATTCTTACTTGTTTTCTGTTCCTTGTAATCTCTTCTAATCTGCTACTCTCTCCTGTTGTTAAATGGGAATGAAATAATCAAAGTAGTCTAACACACAAGCAGTAACCATTACGTTGTCTTCCATAGCTCTGGAAGTTGGCTGCTCAGTGGCTGTTTTGGCAGTATAGTCATTACCTATTGGCTTCCTGTGTTTAAGACAAGTCTTCATGTTCGAGCTCTTGCAGGTGTCCCATCTGGGTGAAGACTGAAGAATACCGTTGCAAGGCAGTTTATATTCAGTTCTTGTACCTGCTTTGTGGGAGACCTTGAATTTTCATAGATTTTGATACACTGCCTTCATCTGTGATAATTCAACTCTGACTATAGCAAAAGTAAACTTGTGAATCTCTTCACAATTAAATTTTTGGTAGAAGTAACTTTTGGTAGTGGAGCACTTGGTCATTGTGTATTTTAGGGTACTAAGTTGACATCTTACCTCTGCTTCATAGAAATGATTGGCAATGTATGAAATTACACTTCTAGCAGAAGTGATATTTTAATCCTTGATCAACATATGTTTCTGTAGTGAATGGAGGTTCTTGCCTCACTCAATTTGAGCAAGGTCCCATTCTCCAAAGTTTTCTGATTGGTAGGATAGTATTCTGAAAATGTGTCTTTCAGTTTTATGTTGATAAACAATCTCACTTTGCGTTTCTTTTGAAATGTTTTTCTTAGGGGATTTTTGTAATGTTTTCATGTTTATTGTTTGTGAGCTCTAGTATTTGGCAGGATATTCTATGAAGGCTTGAGCTGGCCCTGAAAGCAATTGCTTGGAAATGCTCAAATATTTGTGACCTTCTTGTAGGTCTTCAGACCTGCAAGACCTACCTTACTTGAAGTAACATAACATTAGCATAAGTTTAGCAAATTGTTAACTTATTTACATCAGGAACTCTAATTTTTTAACAGTAAATAGTGGAGAATTTTAGCAACTAGAGAGTTTATCCAATTCAGTAGATTTGTTAGATTTCAAACAATTACATTGACAAATGGTGAAAGGACCTCTAACATACCTATAATGTGCCAAAGGTTTACACTCTACATTTGATACACATCTAATGTGTGAGAGTGGTTGGAATTTTCAAAAAATGTTACAAAATCAAATTTTCATTTCCATTGGAGTTTGTTAAATGTAAGAAACTGTTGACAGTAAATTGACATTTAGTCCAGATCTACATCTGTTAGCATATGCTAGACTGCAAAATGCTGGCAAAGGAAGTAATAGTTTATTACGTTCTTCAATTCATCCAAATCACGGTTGATGGCATGATTGGATAAGACTCTATTACTGGTGTTTTGTAGGTGGGCTTTTGCTAACTGTTTGGAAAAGGTATAATCTGTTATATGGGATCCAAGTAACATTTCCAGTGTAACATGGGGCATTGGCTCTGTTAAGAGAACTTTCTTGATTTGTTAGAAGCTAGTGAAGTCTGGAAGCTGGGAAACAATTGGTCTAGAGGCTAGTACATGTAGGAAAACAAACCCTTTCTATTTTCTTTTGCTTTTCCAAGTTGGAGATGCATTTGCATTCTCAAATTTAGATGATTCAGTTAGTCTAACTGCAATTAAAGAAGCAACTTGTCTATGTCACTCAACCAGTGATGCCTACAATGCTTGTGTGAAACAGGAAGAATGCTCTAGTCACTAAGTCTCGTGTGTTGTACGTCATGCAGGAACTAGCATTTTCTTCAGAATGGTACAAAAGGCATTCCCTTTTAGTCTCTGGAGAGGTAACCTTGCAAGACCAGCTCGTTTCATTTCATTAAAAGTAGCTGGGTACACTACAAGTCAACATCCAAATTCTTATTGTTGGAGCTGACTCCCTCTGATCTTCTGACTGGAAGCATCTTCATTGGTTCAGGAAGCTCTTAAGCTGCATGTATTTAGAGGCTGGGAGAATTTTCTGGGCTCCTGACTTACTGTGCTTTTCACATTATTACAATTTTGCCTTCTAAGTATCTGTTTTTCCCTCCTGTCTGACGCAGGATACTGGTTTAACCCACATGAAACTTTTATGCTGTGCAACAACTGGTCTTACAATTGTTTCAGCAGTTGCCAAAGATTCTAAAAGAAGAAAATACTTAGGGGAGGACATATTTGTTAAGCTCTCAAATTCATTAGGAGTTTATCTGGATTGTATCTTGAGTATATTTATCTATATTCCCAGCATAAAAAATTCTAGGTGGGAAGCTTTTGGTTGACTTCAGTTGTCTTTCCAGTTTCATTAGAAAGAATAGGAGGTGGAAGAGGAAGAATTTATCTGCTGAATGTATATCTTTTGCTTTTCAGTAATAGATTTTTATCAGTTTTCATAAATTAAGTGAGCATTTTACAGAGGTATTTATATGCAGACACTGGTTTCCTTTGTTAAAAGAGTCTACCTCTCAATCCCTAAAGCAGCAGTGAATTCTATGACAAGGACATGCTGACAGTACACTGCATATACTAACTCAGACTTTGGAAAGACTTGAGTTGGAGCAGTAAAGAATATGAATGCAGGCTTTTTTACCCATTTGAACAGGCACCTCACCCTTGTTAATTACCATCTTCTCATTTAGGTTGTGGTTTCTCGTTTTTTATCAGTGTAGGTGGACCTAGCATTATGCAGGGACAAAAAGATCAGGAGCAAAATCTTACATGCTTTGACAGTTCATGTTTGCCTGGAGGTGTCTGTTCCAGTTTCTTGCAATGAAAAGTGCTAACAGTGAGTGCTCCAGGAAATTCTGCTGTAAAATTTGGCACCACATAACACTATACTTGTGCAGATCATTGCAGCTTGATAATCCACAGCCTGGAGAGGCATATTGTATGTAATTATTGCTTGGGATGTAGGTTCATAAGAGTGTCTGGTGCACACTGCTTTACCTGGATTTTACCATGTCTGGTGGCAGAAAGAACAAGTGAGGCTTGTCCTACTTCTGTAGATTTTGCTAACATCAAGCTTAAAGAATATAAGGAAAGCTGTGTCTGAGGAAAACATAATACTGGTTTCATTGTTTCAAAATCTGAATGGTCAACAAAATAGTAAAATGAAACATAGTCCTAGCAACAGAATTCTTTTTTACTGACTTCTGTCTTTATCGCTTATAATCATACTGTGGTGGTTTAGTGTGGAACCTGAAGTTAGTGAACTGTTGTATCTGCTGGCTCCCTACTAGTTGTTTTTATAGGCTTTAGCCTCTCCAATATGTTGTCTTGTATTTCCCTCTTTTCAGTACCGGGAAAGCACTAGGGCCTTAAGAGATTGTTAATATTTGAAGCATTTCCTGGTATGGAGTTTTACTTACAAACTGCCTTTCTGACAGCAGCAGTCTGGCAATTCACTATTACAGATTCGTTCAACATGGGTTTTTTGGCTTTGTGATGTTTCATACATTATGCAGCAGAAAAATGTCACTTCAGTCAACTCTGATCTTAGTCTTTCAGTACAGAACTGATTCTCTGTAGAGACCACAGGTGATACACTAGTAATGTTATTTGCTCACATGTAACACAATGCTTAAAATCTACTTCATCTTCTCTCACTTCCTACTGTTGTGGTTGGTGGGAACTGAACTGTTCTGCTCGATTTCTTTCCTTTTTTTTTTTTGTGTTGGTAGGAATTGGTGAGTACTTGTTTAAGGCATGACCACTTTCTCTAAATGATGACTAATATCCCCTGTATACTGGCAATAGAAATTAGTACTTTTAATTTATGACTTAGCCTGGGTGTTTTGTACAGCTTTTAAAAGGTAACAATTAAAATCGTCATCTTCAATACTAATTAAGTTAGAAAAGTGAAAATGAGGTTTGTTTTTGATTGTGAAAGAGGGAGCAAGAACATGAAAGTAGGAGGGCTCTGCAAGCAAAGCAAAGCAAATACATTTACAGTTGTAGAGTGCATATATAGTCTCCTGTGAGTGAAGATGCAATTTGTTGAAGGTTAATAATTGTATCTGAATTAATATCATGGTCTTTAGCATCTCTCTGTTTAGCCCATTGTCCTGGGTTCAGCTACAGCAGTCATTTTTTCTCCTTCTCAGTATCTGGTGCAGTGCTGTGTTTTTGACTTTCAATCTGGGAGCAACGCTGATAACACCGATGGTTTTAGTTGTTGCTCAGCAATGTTTACTCTGACCAAGGACTTTCTCAGTCTCATGCTCTGCCAGGGAGGAGGGGAAGCCGGGAGGAAGCAGAGACAGGACACCTGACCCAAACTGGCCAAAGGGGTATTCCATACCACAGCACGTCATGCTTGAACCACGACACCCATGTTTCATAAGTAGGAGGTCCTGTCTTTTAACTGCAGTCACTTTTTAAATTGTAGTATAGTTTGATTACTGTCACTAGATCCTCCATTCAATGCAACCTGTAATTCACAGTAAATTTATGTTGCTTTATCTACTGAGACAGATCTTAACCTTCCCCCTCACCCCCCAAGTTGTAAAAATGTGCAACTACAGTAGTGCTTATTAATTTGGCCTATTAAAGTTAACTGAGGATGGCAGAACAATTGCCTGTTATTGATCATCATCACTTTAGGTACTACAGATAGTAATTCTTATCAACAGTTTTGCAGTCCTTGCAATGTTTGGAGCAGGTGATATGGGAGGGAACGCTACATGGAATATGTGTAGCCTGAAAGTTAAGAGCTAAGTATTTTGACTTCCAAAATTTAATTTGGAGCAGATTACAATCTACACGCTTATTGGTGTTTTGGTGGTGATGCTTAACACACATGTGTTAAAAGGCATGAAAAACATTCTGAAGAGACACCAGTCTGAAAAATAATTGGTGAAGCTGAAGCATTTATTGGCACCTCAGCTGTTGTAAGCAAAGAGGAACAAGCCTAATGCTTGCGTGGAATAAATTGTTATCATGTCTTGTTACTGAGAAAGTGTGCTGTTGTTTAACTGTTTTAACTTCTGTGGTTTAGACAACTGAAATTCTAGAATTTATCTCAAGCATTTCTTATTTTTTTTCCTTAAGATACAGGTTCAAATGCAATACAAAAATAAAATATTTATTACTGCACATGCCTGTATACTTAATTCTGTAGATCATGAGAGATAATTCCGGAAAAGCTCTAGGTTCAGGATAAGACTACTTATAGTCTATCAGGAAAAAAAAAGAAAGGCTGTGTGGACTTTTGCTTTTGCCTAGGGTGTGTTCTGTTCATTTTAAGATCCTTTGTGCAACCTTTCTTAAGATAATTGTTTAGAAGTTCTAGCGCAGAAATAGAAAACTCTGCCTTTTCTGGTTCTGATGTAAAAACCTGAAAAATAGAATTTCCTTTTGGGTAAGAGCCATTTTAGTGGATGGTACAATGTTAGGTAAGCCTTCAGGAAAAGTAATCAGTAAAATAATGGAAAAGATGTTAACTAAGTAATTCGTCAAAGTAGAATTTACAGATGTTACTTGAAAAAAGCATTTAATGGAGAGTTCACTGATTTGTTCCTATCTGATTTAATGGGACAAAGCCCAGTGCTCTATTTTCTAGAATTCTAACACTTCAAAAATATTCTCTCTCTCTGTTTTGACAGGCCAGTTGGAATGCCAAAAATGGAAAAAGTTTACCTACATAACCCTAGCTCAGAAGAAACAATTACGTTAGTATCAATATCTGCTACAACATCACATTTTCATGCATCATTCTTTCAAAATAGGGTAAGTTACGTTCTTAAAACAAGCTTTTCCTTCTCCTCCCCACCTCAAATGGGAGCTTGATTTCCCTCCTGTCTTTAAATAAGCTACTTACTGCAATAATTACTTAAAGTTTTAAGATACTGCAGTTCTTGATCCCCTGTCAGTTACCAAGCAAATTTGAAGTGAGCACAGAAACACACACAGGCCCTTGACAGAAGAGCGGGGATGAAATACTGCATAGGAGTTCTGACTACAGTGGAAGTGTATATGGTGACTGACAGTTTAACAGCAGATATCCACTGTTGCTGAAGTGACTAAGTGTACACTGCCTTAGAATGCATACAGGAACAAGCTGTTCTTACATTTTTTCTGAAAATTGTTAGTGTGAAGCAGTCACTCCAAAGCACTTAAAACTACTGCAGTCTTGGTACAGGAACTTGCAACTTAAAAAAGCATGGTGTCAGCAGGGTTAACTTGTAACCACATTGCTGTCAGATACAGTAGTCTAGTTTCAGTTTTGTCTGCAGGGCCTGTGGCTCAGCAGGGGCCATGTAAACACCAAAAAATTCAGAATACCTGTCTATGAGTAACCCATTGCACTTCAGTGTTACGGTAATTGCCTTTCTCCAGTGTTCCGTAAACTGTTGGTCCAAAATATTTCCATGATAATCTGAACTCTTAAGTTCAGAATTCAACATAAAAATTCAAGTAAATATGATCCTGCACTAGTTAATAGTTGTAACATAATAGTATTTTTATTCTTTTGTTACACGTTTTTATTTGAAACTTCTACTTTTTTTTTCCCAAATCTGCAAGTAGACTTTCTAACTTCAGCTTTCCATAATGAACATATGGAGATCTTCTGTAGCACAAAAACTATTGTTCATCTGCAGGGTGGAATGTCTCCAATAAACAGTTTTACTTATTCCTCTGCATGCTTTCTTTTATTTATCTTTTTTTTTTCCAGAAAATTCTTCCAGGAGGGAATACATCCTTTGATGTAGTTTTCCTCGCAAGAGTAGTGGGAAATGTAGAGAACACTTTATTTATTAACACTTCTAATCATGGGGTATTTACTTATCAGGTAAGAG